ATTTGCAGTCTGTCAATTGCACAGCAGCAGTATGTATCATTTAAAAGATGCAGTGCAGCAACTCAGCAAGTCTCATGCAAAAATACCTTCCAAACCTACGACTTCTTCCCTGCAGAAGGTCAAATGTAGCAGATGCAAGGAAACACCATCACTTACAAGTTCCCCCCAAGTCTCAAGGCTTGTAGCGGGGATGCTGGTGTCGGGGAAGGGATTATGTTGAGTTGTGTTGGGGGTTTGTGGTTGTTAAGTGTGTTGTACGTTTAACAGTTACTCAGGACGTGCTAACTATTAAAGGAAACAGAATTCTCCGATGCAAGGAGATTTCTTCAGAGGGCTCCAGAATCAGATGAACTACCCATCAGAATCTTCAATTTCCTGGGGAATTCCCATGGAGTCTGCTGCACTGGGGAGTCTGTAGTGTCCTGACATACATTTCCATTTTGTGCTGTTCCAACTACTATCTGGGTCAATGCTTTTCTTTCTTGATTTGTCTCTATTCTTTGATTTACCACATCTTCCCAGATTTGATCCTTTACCTCCTATGTTTAATTTAAAAAGCTTCTCCAATTCCCTAATTATGGAATTCTTCAGAACCCTAGTGCTAGCACAGTAAGGATAGACCACACCAATGGTATAGATACCACTTTCCCCAGTGCTAATGTCAATTCCCCACAAACTGGATCCCACTTCTCCCTCACCAGCCTTTGAGTCATGCATTAATTTCTCTAATCTGATCTGCTCTATGATAATATGTAATAATTTAGAGATTATTACCTTTGCTGCTTTTTAATTTGGTGACTAGCCCCTTATACTAATCGTATACAATATCTTTTTGTATCCTATCTCGTTGGTACCTATATGGACCACAGTGACTACATCCTTTTCCTCCCACTTCAAATTCCTCTCTGGCCTCATCAAATATCCGGAATTTTAGCACAGCCTTCTGAACTCTTGCTCTTTGCTGCAGGGGCAGTGTCAATCCGAATCACTGTACAGTCTCCTGTTACCATTATATTGCTTCTTGATTCCAGCCACCACCTCCCCAACTTTGATGGCTCTCTGCAGCCCAGTGCCATGGTTAGTTAGGTCACCCACATTTCAGCCCACACTCTCGTCCAGACAAACTGAAAGAACCTCAAACCTGTTAGACAATTGCAAAAGCTGACATGCCTCCATCATGTCCTGGGTCTCATACTTGCCTTACTCTCAGTCAAACCATCTGTCCCTGACCACTAACCTGATCACAGGACCCCGTCCTAAGGGGTGTGACCACTCTCTGGAGTAAAGTAACATTACCCACTCCATAACGCATTGCAATGTCTGCAACATGGCCTCCAACTCATAAACTTTGAGCTAAAGGCATGATTGACCTGGATCACGCTAGTATCCAGCATCTATAACTTATAGTTACAACATATCACATGTCCTGGCAACGTCATTGGGTCATTATTAATTTATAATTAATAAACCCTACTACTCACTATAAGATTTCTTACCACGCAAAAACCTTACTAATAAATTTCCTGGGGTTTTAAAGATCAGGTAAATGAGCAAAATAATCACCAAGAAATCACGTATCTCTTTCCCTGTGATGCCATCCTTTTAATTGGATCTGAATACAATTTAGGGGTGAAGGGCCTTCTCAAATCTGAACATCCATTTGGTCTCTGTCCGGTCTCGAGTAACTTTTCAATATCCCTCTCCAGAAGGCTAACCAAGTTAAAATAGAAAAGAACTCACCACTTCTTGTGTTGTTAGCTGGTGTACTGATTGGTACCTGGCAGAGGTTAAACACCAACTCACAAACAGTTTTTTTTTATAGAATACCTACAGTGTGGAAACACACCCTTTGGCCCAACAAGTCCACACCAACTCTTGGAGCATCCCACCCAGACCCATCCCATCCTCCTATAACCTACCTAATCTACACATTCCTGAACACTATGGGCAATTTAGCATAGCCAATCCATTTGGCCTGCACATCTTTGGACTATGGGAGGAAACCAGAGCACCCGGAGGAAACCCACACAGACAGTCACCCAAGGGTGGAATCGAACCCGGGTCCCTGGTGTTGTGAGGCAGCAGTGCTAACCACTGAGCCACCATGCCACCCATATCACAAAACTATTTTTATCTCCAACAAAAGTAGAAATTGCTAGAGAAGCTCAGCAGGTGTGGCAGCATCTGTGAAAACATTGTGTGACTCTTCATTCAGTTTTTCTTTTTAGCTCCCTTGGACTATGATCCCTCCACCAAACATCAAGCTGTTGTTTCCAGGACTGTCACTGACCTCACCTTCTTTAGAGATCTTCACCCCCACAGTTTTAGCATCTCAAAGACCCCAACTCTCCACATCATGCTTCTACACTTTCAAAATTTACAAGCAAGATCCGTCGTTTCAGACGGTTCTTGCTCCATTTAAAATATTTCTCCCTATCTTCTCTCTTCTTTTTTAATTCTAACACTTCATGTTTGTTCCACAATTTCCATTTTCCTGGCGCCAGCTGCCTCCTTATCACCATGGATATGCAATTGCTGTACACCTCCATCCCCTATTGGGATGGTCTGAGGGCTTCCCACTTCTTCGTTGAAAAGAGGCCTGAACAATCCCCATCCACCATCACCTTTCTCTGGCTGGTGGTGCTCGTTCTCACTTTTAACAATTTCCCCTTTAAGTCATCTAATTTTCTCTGAGTCAAAAGGTGGCTATGGGTACCCACATGAGTGCCTGTTATGCCTGACACTTTCTGGGGTATGTTGCACGTTCCTTGTTCCAGTCTTACTTGGGCCCCCTTCCCACAACACTTTCAGTGGTGCTGCTTTCTGGCCTTGTCTGGAATTGGAGATTTCTTCAATTTTGTTTCCATATTTCTTCCTTCTTTCCTCTTCACCTGCTCCATCTTTGATGCTTACCTTCCCTGCTTTGAGTTCCCCATTTCCATTTCTGGGGATAAACTGTTCACAAATATCCACTACAAACCCATCGACCCCCACAGTTTCCTTCACTATACTTCTTCACACCCTGTTTCCTGTAAGAACTCCATTCCATTCTCCTAGATTCTCATCCTTGTTGTATCTGCTCCAATGATGCTATCTTCCACAGGGGTGGAACCTCTAACCGAGGATTCCCCCACATCATGGTTGGCAGCTGCATGAGACAGTTTTCCCATTGCTTCTCCCCTCACTCATTCCCTTCCCTCCCAAAACAGTGAGAAGTCTTCTCTTGTCCTCTTTTTCCACCCAATCAGCCTTTGTATTCAAGGTATCATCTTTGGCCATTTCCACCACCTTCAGTAGGATACCACCAACAGTCACATCTTCCCCTCTGTTCCACAGTCATCATTCCACTGGGACTGTTCCCTCGAAAAGACCCTGGTATGGTTCTCCGTCACACCAAACACCTTTCAGTCTTCCAATTGGCACCTTCCCATGTAATTGCAAAAGATGTAAGATTTGCTCCTTTGACTCCTCCCTCCTCACTGTCCAAGCCCTCAAACACACCCTCCAGGTGAAGTAGCAATTTACTTGTACTTCTTTCAATGTAGTCTACTGTATTCACTACTCACAGTATGGTCACAATATGGACAGTGGGGGCAGATTAAATGCAGACTGGGTGACCATTTTGCAGAACACCTCTGTTCTGTCTGCGAGAATAATTCAATCTTCCAGTCGCTTGCCATTTCAATGCACCATCTTGTCTCCATTTGAATATTTTCATCTTAGGCCTGTTGCAGTGTCCCAGCAGAGCTCCAACGAGCTGGAGAAACAGTGCCTCATTTTTCTCTTCAAAGGATGATGGTGAAACTCATATTCATCGAATCCATATAAAACTTTCTTTGTCTCTTAAATGACAAGAGGGTGTCAGAGTTTGATATTCAAAAGACATTTGCAAATGGTTTTCAATCTTTAAATAGATTATAAATAAAGAACCTTCATAATTTGCTAATTAAGTAATGATGCCACTGCAAATCTGCTGATTAAAAGTAAATGATCATTGTAAAGGTACATACAGCAGCAGATTCAGGGCCACTTTACTGGTGGCAAACTTTAGATTACAGAGCAAGCAATTCTTTGTATCACCACAAATTAAAGTTTGGTTTGTTCAAAACTTTCTACTGGCAATGACTTCGGTTACTCACACAGAAAAACACTCCAGCCAGTAGAGGCCCCCAAGGATTTAGAAGTGAATTGTTTGCTTTGTAAGCTCTTGAACATGATGATTGCAACCATGGTGACAGACTGAAGCCTTGACTGTAACTTTCTAGTGCCAGTCGTAGTACACAATACCAAGCAAAAGCAAAGCTCCTTTTGTACGGCTTAAAATTGTTTCCTCATCAAGTTAGCGAAGAGAGATGAAACATTTGTTTGACACTCGCACGCAGAAGTGTTGGACAGAACTTATCGAGAAAGAAGCCTACACCCGGATAGCCTGGAAAGACAAATATGGGGCCAAATATTCAAGGGTTCCACCTGCCATTCCCAACAAGAAGAGTGAAGTTCCCAAGCTTCCTACCGGGTATTATAGCCTTCCAGCAATTCAAGTTCCAAAACAACAGGAAGAAAGAAAAAAGGTAGTTCAGGAAACACCTTCAAAACCTGAAGAGTTTCAGGAGATGCGGCCTGTAACTCCCCAGGTTCGAGCTTTACTATATGATGGCTTTTCGAAAGAGCAGAAGGGCAGGTATCTGTACCTGGAAAAGAGGAAGGCAAAACATCCAGAGGAAAAATTCCAATATCCTATTCTATCTTCCTGGGAGTACGGTTGGAGACAGGGTGAGTGAAATACCATAATAAGTTAAGACCAGCTCTTCTAAAGTAAAATCACTTTAATGATTGAATTGGTCACAGTACAGTGTTTCCAATTTTTAACATATTCCCCTTTTTTAAGATGTCTGATGTGATTCAAATATCATGTGAGTAATGTGATTTACTGGAACACCTAAGTGCTGGACAGAACTTATAGAACAAGAAGCCTATTTCCGTATAGTCTGGAAAGATACTAATGTGATTAATGTGATTTAATGATATTTAGTTAAGACTGATGTAATAGTTAAGACTAATTATTTCTCCAGCTATACTTTTTACATATTCATTGTTTTACCAAAACATTTGTAGACCTGCTGAGATCAATTCCAGCTGGAGATTACCCTTCCCTCTTAAAGCAACTCATCATAGTAGCAATTTAAAACCAACCGATCATTCCTGAGCATAATTGCCTCCATGACCACCAAATAATAAGCACAATTGTTACTGTATTAGTAATTATGGTCAAGTAAACTAATATCATGTCAGACAAGACGGATGTTCTCTTTAAATTCCACAGTGATGGCTAATAGTAATTGCACGTACTGTGCATCGATTGTGAAGACGTTGGGAATATTAAGCTATTTCAGTAACGTAGATTCATAAAATCCCTACCATGTGGAAACAGGCCATTTGGCCCATTGAGTCCACACTGATTCATCCCACCCCTCCACCTTATCTCTGTAACCCTGCATTTCCCATAGCTAACCCACACATCCCTGGACACTGTGGGCAATTTAGCATGGCCAACCCACCTTTGGACTGTGGGAGGAAATTGGAGCACCCAGAGGAAATCACAGACATAGGGAGAATGTACAAACTCCACACACAGTCACCTGAGGCTACAATCGAACCTGGGTCCCTGCTACTATGAGGCAGTGCTAACTATTGCACCACCATCCCGCCATATGTTTATGTTAGGCGCACATGTTGTATATTGTCTCCATCCTCAGTTGAGATAACAATGTTATTTCCCTGAGTTTAGGTGAGTAGGCCACCTTTAGCATTGGTGAATCAAATTTGTGTGTTACCAATGATGTTGTTACCATATATCACTGTGACTCACACAACTGGTATCTCCAGCCATGAGGGCTCCATCCATGGCCTAATCATACTTTCCCATGGAACATAATTCACAGACATGTGGTCAATTTCCACATGTGCAATGACATCCAGTTCAACTTTGTTATTACTTGACCATTTCAGTTGGCTGTACTATCAGAGATAACAAGGTGTAGAGCTGGATGAACACAGCAGGCCAAGCAGCATCAGAGGAGCAGGAAAGATGACGTTTCAGGCCTAGACCCTTCTTCAGA